CTTCTTTTTCAAGATTGCCATGGCTATTTGGGGTCTTTTTGGTTCCATATAAACTTTTGAAGTATTTGTTCTAGTTCTGTAAAATATGTTGTTGGTATTTTGATGGGGGTTGCATTGACTCTATGGATTGCTTTGGGTAATATGGACATTTTAATGATGTTAATTTTTCCAATCCATGAACAAGGTATGTCTTCCACTTTTTTATATCTTCCTTTATTTTTTTTCCCAATGTCTTGTAATTTTCTGAAAATAGGTCCTTTACTTCTTTGGTTAAGTTTATTCCTAGGTATCTTAATTTTTTTCTATGTATAATATCACTTCATCTGCGAATAAATGTTATCATGTGTTAGCGAGATAACCAGAGACGCACAGCCAAATAGTAAAGGAGTGCTTTATTCTCATTGGCGGACTGCAGAGGGCAAAGTCTTCCCTCAGATCAGCAGCCACTGTTTTTTAATTGTTTTTTCCTTTTGGTGTTTTGGTTGATTGTTTTGATTGATTGATTTTTTCTACCCTGTCTTCTAATTCACTGATCCAGTCCTCAGCTCCCTCTAATCTGCTGTTTAGTCCTTCCAATGTGTTCTTTATTTCTGCTATGTCATTCTTCATTTTTTCTTGGTGGTTTCTTCATTTTTTCTTGGTGGTTTTCATTTCAAGTTGATAGATTTTCAATGTTTCTATGTCTTTACTCATGGTGTTGATGTCCTTACTCATGCTGTTGCGTTTCCTCAAGATCATGACTCTGAATTTTACCTCTGATAACTTACTTAACTGCATTTCATTTATCTCATCTTTGGTAGAGGTCTCTTGTTCTTTCATTTGGGATTTGTTTCTTTGTTTCACCATTTTGGCTATCTCAGTGGGTTTTGGAGCCTGCCAAATTTTCCCTGTGGGTGTTTGTGTTCTCTGTTTGTGGCTCCCTCTACTGGGTTTGGATGAACATGGGAGGACCCACGTTAAACATCACTGTCAAGTCTTACTTTCCTGAGTAGTTTTGCAAGCCTGGGAATGGTTCAGTTATCCTCTAGCCTTTTTGCCTGGAGGCTATTAGTTGTAGTTACTTGAAGAGCCTTGGGTTCTCAGTTAAATGAAAAACTCCCTCAGGTGTTTAGCATAAGAGGATTTTCTGAGGCTGGGGCAGATGCTGGTTGTTAATGAGTCTCAAATAGCATTTCAATGGCACGCCTGTGTGGGGTTGAATCTCCGAGGGAGGGGCCACTGCCTCTCCTCAGAGCTCTGGGAAGGAGCAATGTGGCCACCGACCTGCATGGCCATAACTCAGCAAAAGCTCTAAGTGCCCCCCAAATCCCAAGTGTCCCCACACAGTTCCAGTCCAGTCTGCCCTCCCTCTGCCGGAGCCCAAGGTGAGTGGCTGTGGCTGTTTTAGCCTCTGTCTCGGCTGCGCTGTGGGGCCGCCTGGGAGTGTAACCCGAGGGCGCAGCTCCCAGCTGAGACCGCAGCTGTCCGTGGGCTCCCAGCCCCCCTCTCATGCCTTCCCAATCCTACCAGGATCGAGTCAGTGTCCCTGGTTATATGGTCCTTGCAAGCTGCTTTTCAGTTGCTTTTTCTCGATGATTTGTCTTTATTTTAGTTGTAATTCCAGTTTGGTCCTGGGAGATGGTCTGTGTAGCTCCCTTCACTCCACGCCATTTTGGACTCTCCGGCAAACATTTATTTTTCAGAGTTCCGGAGGCTCGGATCCTAAGATTAAGGCCCTGGTGGACTTGGTTCTGGAGGCTCGGATTCTAAGATTAAGGCCCTGGTGGACTTGGTTCCGGAGGCTCGGATCCTAAGGTTAAGGCACTGGCGGACTTGGTTCCGGAGGCTCGGATCCTAAGGTTAAGGCACTGGCGGACTTGGTTCCGGAGGCTCGGATCCTAAGGTTAAGGCACTGGCGGACTTGGTTCCGGAGGCTCGGATCCTAAGGTTAAGGCACTGGTGGACTTGGTTCCGGAGGCTCGGATCCTAAGGTTAAGGCACTGGTGGACTTGGTTCCAGAGGCTCGGATTCTAAGATGAAGGCACTGGCGGACTTGGTGTCTGCTGAGGTCAGGCTTCTTCGTTTGCTGTGTCCTCACACGGCCAAAAGTTTAAAAAAGCGTTTAATGTTTTAAATCAACCTGAAATATACGAAGTTCCCAACATATGAAAAATATTTCTTCTAAAATACCCCTAGGTAGACTTTCTTGTTCACAAATGAATCTCCTCCCTCATTGTGGGTTCACAGATGGCCCCCCCCCTTGCCAGGAATACATTCTGCCTCATTTGAAAATCCCAGGATAACACTGTCCCTCCCACTCCCCACCGCGGGCGTTCAACCCACAAGCATGGATTCCCAGCGGCCCCTCTTGGGGCATGCCTGTAGGGAAGGGGAGGCCAGGACCTGGCCACTGGGAGACTAATTTCCACGTGGGCCCCAGGGACTCGGCTCGAATGCAGCCTCGGGCAGGTTTCAGAATCTAATGGATCCGCTGCCTCTAGGCCCCCAGCTAATGCACAGTGATGGACAGCTGAGTCAAACTGTTTTTCCTGCAGCTCCGTGCTGGGCCTGGGTAGAATTAATCCTTTTATCTCGCAATAAAGGAGAATTATGGGCATTTTGTCTTCCGGCTGCCTTTGAAGAGCCATCTTCAGAAGCCGGAGGCTTTGCATTTCGCAGAGTGGCCAGACTAAAGATGCTTTTCACTGATCTCAGGGCGAGACTGAAGGGCAGGCAGTTGATTATATTGTCACCCAGTTGCCCTGTGGAAAGGATGGAAAGTTTCTATTTTAAGCAGATTTCAGAGCACAGATGTCATTCTGGAGAACCTTTCAGAGAAACAAACAGTCTTAAGAGCCTACAGCCAGCGGCCACCCCAGCAAAGGGGATACTCTGCAAGGGTACAGTTTGGTCTGCCATTCTTTCTACTTGCCTCCCGTGGGTCTAACCCCACCGTGATCATTGTGGGGTGTGCATCATTCCTATACACAGATAACAACGTTGTCTAATAAACTGACTACACGTGGTAATATCTTGTGCTCACTTTCATAAAGGCAGCTCGTATTCCTCTGGTCTAACCCCACCGTGATCATTGTGGGGTGTGCATCATTCCTATACACAGATAACAACGTTGTCTAATAAACTGACTACACGTGGTAATATCTTGTGCTCACTTTCATAAAGGCAGCTCGTATTCCTCCGGAAACACTGTTAAAACCTCATTCATCCCAACTAAGAAGGGAACTGACATGCTCAGCGTGGGGCTTGGCATCCTGGCTGCATTATTTTATTGGATTCTTCAAAATAACTCTGAATTTGGTGTTTTGCATCTCATTTTTATTGGGAAACTGAGGCTGGGAGGAGTGGGCAATTTGCCTCTGGTCACACAGCTAGTAATTGGTACAGCTGGGCATGCACCCAGGTCTGACTCTGAAGCCCGCATCTTTCCCAAGATGCCACCTTAGCGACCAGGGTTTTGCGACATTGGCCTTATCAGTGCTTTGACCAGATAACTCTTTGTTCGGGGATGGGGGCTGTTCTATGCATTGAAAGATGTCCAGCAGCATCCCTGGCCTACTTACTAGATGGTCATAGTAACCTCCCACCAATGTGACAACCAAAAACGTGTCCAGACATTGTCAAATAACCTCTAGGGGCAATTTTGAGAACCGCCGGGTAAACACTCCTGAAGCACGTGCTTGCTTAGACCACCCAGGCTCTGTGGTTCTGTGAAATGCACAGAATAACTAGAAGGCCCAGGAGTGGTCTTACAGGGTATGCATCAAGAAACAAAAAATCAACTATAATTAGCATATTGGTTCAATGCACATAAAAAGCCCCTTATCCCTTTTATTCCTGATGGCGGCGGGGGGACACTCTCCCGTCGCCTGGCTTTGTGACGCATGTGTGATCCTTCCCTGCAGCACAGACACTCTGTCTTTTAGCCGATTGTATTCAGTTCTTATCTCTTAGGAGCTGTGCTAGGCTTGTTGCCTTGGGCTGGATTGGACTGGAGAGGGTTCAGAATACAGAGCACAAAGGTACACATATACCAGTTCCCAAGGGGATTGAAAGAAATGTCAAACATGAAATCTGAACAATGCAGTGGAGACAGTAGTTGGCCTCTAGGGTGCGACTGTCCTGCCCCCAGTGGCTTGGCTACCCTGGAAGGGCCCCTGAGCTGGGCCACCACTAAGGTTGTGCCCATGAGCCCTAATCACTGGCAACCAGCTGAAGGTTCCTGGGGCCGGAAACCTACCCACGCTGCCCTCACTGAGGGGGTGCGCCGAGGCCGGGCTGCCACTTTCGGAGCGAGAGCACCGTCCCGTTTCCACAAGGTGCCACGTGGGCTGGTAAAAACTCTTCCACAACGTCAAGGAACCTTGCATCCGAACTCTCCATCCCCACATTTGCCAGGTCTTCACTCCTTTTACTAAGAGCTGTTCTGCCATCGTATCCACCTTTATTTTACCACTGCTCGACTAGAGAGGGGTTTGTATTCACTTATTAAGTTCACAGGATACAGGCATGAAAAAAACAAAGTTCCTGTCTCCATCACACTGACATTCTTCAAGATTGTTTTGGGTTTGGTTTTGTTTTTCAATATCTCTGGCTTGAGCTTTTGTCCAGAGTGCAGTTTCTGAATTAGATGAATAAGTCAGCCTGGGGGAAGATGCTGAGAAATTGGCTTTGCCCTTGGTCGCTGAAGGAACCAGATGGGTGTCTCAGCATCGCCCTCGGTGGTCACATGGCTGATTCTAGTTTCGGCTGCCTCGGGGCATCCAGCCGAGCCTCCTGAGTCTGAATGTCCTGGTCCATTTGCATTTTACATTAAGCTGCAAACTGAGCAGCTTCCAACATCCAGCCCAGAGCCTTTTCTACTGTAAAAATGTGCAAGGAGGGCCCCCGGGGCGTGGGTGAGCAGGAGATAAGTGGTCCCCTGACAGCCGTGGGGAGAACTTGCGATGTTCACAGTGGCGGAAACAGCCCTGCACTTCACCGTCCCCTTTCTGTGTCTCCAGATGGAAAGCTGTGCACCAGTTACAACCGAGGGCTCATCTCAAAGGCAAAAATCAAGGCCATCAAGTACAGCATGGTCATCATTCTAGGTAAGCAGCGTCCCTCCCCGGGCTGCAGAGCAGTGTGAACACTCCCAAAGCAGGCTTGGCCAGGACCTGTGGTGGCGAGCCCCCAGGGGAACGGAACTGGTCTGTAGACAGTCCACCTCCATCTGATGGGAGATGAGCAGGTGAAACTTTTCCGTCTACCCTTACCTTCTTCAAAGGATGGCATTTGGTCCCTAATCTCTCTTCATTAATACACTTGTCCTCCGAGGCCCTGGGGTACATAATTTGGAGAAAATTAGATCACCAGCCGAAGCTGATACACGCCATCACCTCGTTGACCCAGCTGCTTCCTTTAATCCATCCTGTCCCCCAGGGCTGAAGTTGATGAGCGAAAGGAAGACAGAAGAGGCATTCCATGTCTTCTGGATAATTAATTTCAAGGTCACTATAAATTCCTCCCTAATGAATGTCTATCTTCTCTCTCGCTCTCCTGTCTTCTTCCCTTTGCCTTTCCCTCTATTCTTAAGACCCCATAACGTCACCTTGTCCTGGAAAAAAGGGTATTTCTGGAGCACCTAATCTGTGTCGGACCAGTGTGTGTTCTTTGTTATCCTGAAACCTTCAAAAACGTCCCCTTCCTTAGGCCCCCTCAGCTAATGACCTTGGCTCTGACTTCACGGAGAAAATGCGACTAAGCAGGAGAGAACTCCTCACTCCCCGGCCCTCACATGCCGGTGGGAAGAACCTCTGTCCTGTGCTCTCCTCTCTCCTAGTGCTGAATCCCATCCTTCCTGCCTGCTCAGAAACGTTCTTCCGGTTCTCTCCTCCTCCCCACGAGTTCCCCCGGACCGGGTCGTCTGCACGTAAACATGCGGGAATAGCCCCTCGGTGGACTGGCTCACAACTGACCCACTTCACCACGTTCTTTTCCGGCAGCCTTCTCCACCTCTTACCGCTCAGACCCGGAGCCTATTTCTAGCCCCTTTCTTTGCGACAACCACCCTTATCAAGGTCACTGCAACCTCCAAAGTGCCGAATGACAATTGTCAATCTTCATCTTCTTTGACTTCTAATCAACATTGGATTCTTCATTCCTCCTTCACTTCCTTTGCCTGGAAGTTGCATCTATTGTTTCTGCTCCAGAGCTCAGTTTGTGTCTCTAATGAGCTCATCTCTCTGTAGTGGCAAGCAGAGGTCTTAGCCTGCTCTCCTACCCCTGCAGAGAAGCCTTCCTCCTATTGTCCTTGTGGGAGAGGAACACATTTTCCTCTTCCTTGGAGGTTTTTCTGACTGCTCTAGTCATCAGATAGACATGAGCAGATTAGCAAGAGAAAATAACCAAATTTAATATGCACGCGTGTAAGGGAACCCCACATCCATGAGAGAGTCACAGACCCAGTGTGCAGAGAGGTTCAGACAGAAAGGGAACATGGGTATATACACTCCTGAGCTAGGAATGAAGGAAGGGGTCTTGGGGACTTCAAAAGATTATTGCAGGGTGATCAGAACAGACCTTTAGTAAACAGAGGTTTGCCCTGCCTTATAGATAGGTCAAAAGAGGTTCTCTCTGATAAACACTTATGTGCAAGGGTCCTCATTCAAATTCTTAAGGGGGGTGGGCAAGGTTTCTCTTGAGTCTGCAGCTCAAGTTGCCTTTAGCTCAAAACCACAGGAGCACATCTTGGGGTAGCTGGTCCTGAACTCGCTGGTTCAGTAAATGACACTGTCGTTTACCCCGTGTCCAAACAAAAACTGAGGGTCCGCCATCTGTCATTCCTGTATCTTTCACACCCCACACATCGGGTTCACGAGCACGGCCCAGAGGCCCTCCCTGCAAAACAGATCTCAGACCTCACCGGGCTCATCGTCTCCACACCATCAGCACCTTCTGCCGCTGGTCTTCTGTTCCTCCTTTCTGCAAAGCCACAACGTGGCTGCTGAGGATGTAAACCGGCTGCTGTCTCTCCTGCAGCTCCCCCTGTGGGTTCCCATCGCAGGAATAAAATCCCACTCGGTCCATGTCTTACAAGGCCCGTGTGGTCGGCCCTCGTGGCTGGTCCTCCAGCCTGGTCTCCAGCCTCATGCCCACCGCGCTCCTCCTTGCTCAATCAATACGTCGCTCTGGTCTTCTTGCTATTTCTTTGAAACGTCACCTTGTGCTGACCTTGAGGTCCTCGCCCTGTTTCCTGCCAGCCCCCTCTGCCTTCAGGTGGTGGCAGGGCTTCGCCCCCACGTCAATGTTACCCAACAAAGCCACCTCCTCAGTGAGTCTTAACTAGCCTTCCTGGAGCCTTCACCCTGCTTTATTCTCTTCACTTTCCTACTTCTACCTGACATCATAAGATGTATATCGATGTGCATATGGGCTGTCTCCCCTGCTGGAGAAGTAATTCCATGAGAATGACTTTCACCTTGGGCTCCTTACAGTTCTACCACCAGGGCCTGAAATAGGCCCATACACGAGGGGCTGGATTGATATTAGTTGCATGAGCAGGTGAATGAGGATATGCAAGGAGAGTCCCTTTCCTAGAGCTCAGTACTGCCCCCGAGCCCCGCGCGGCCCTGGGCGCTGAGGGCACAGCCCTCCCGTTAGCTGATGTGGGTCACCAGAACAGTCCAGCTCCCTTTTACAAACACGAACACAACGGCACGGTGCCACCCGGACCACCCAGTGGGGCTCAGCCAGCAGAACACGGGCACCAAGCAGGGCGCAGGCGGACCTGGGATGAGGCGTCTGCCACACACCGGGGCTCAGAACCCTGCCCCAGAAGCTTCTGGAGTGGACGGGCCTCACTTGCCTTCTCGGACAGCCGGAAGCAGACACACACTCCTGGATGCGGAGTCAGGAAGCACATCTCATATGTGTGCTCCGGGGCCAGCGGTGCCGTCTGTGACCAGGAGCCACAGGCCCAGGCCGGGGCCTTACAGTCAGAGAGCAGAGATGCCCGCAGGAGGGTCAGCCATGCCAACAGCCCGGTCAGACCAGAGCAGCCCTTTCTATAACAAACACTTCGCAATGCCCTCTCCCACCCTGAAAGAAATGCATATATATAATCCTACAGTCCTAACACGATCCTTAAACAGTCAACATGCGATAATGTACATAAAGGAGGAATAGAAAGAAATAATTTATAACAAACAATACAGATTTCCCTGCATAAGTGCTTGGGCACAGCTACACCGGAGGAGGGACGAAGCAGTCGGCTGGATGTCGTAGCCGCTACAAATGCAAACCAATACAGGTGTGCTTGTATGGGGACAGAAGACACAGAGCAGGCTGCCGTCAGGGACATGATTTTCTGAGCAGGTGGACAAACCTGGGACGGTTCCAAATGGAGCAAGTAATCGCTCCTCTTTTGCAAGGGAATTGCATTTCTGGAAAATTCTGTATTTATGGAAAATGCTTGTGTTCGTATAAAAAATAGAGTCAGGTTCCTCCGCGGGGGTGATTGTAAACAGGGTTCTCGGCGACGTAAGTGTCAGGCTGGGTACTCAGAGCGTGTAAGGGACATGGGGACTGCCCAGCTCCAGGCAAGAGGGCTGGCATCCCTGGGAAACCAAAACCGCACCCACCACACCCACCCTTAAATACGCCAACAGGCACCGGGCAAAGTGATCCGAAAAGGCAGTTTACCCCTCCACGCCCAGAAGTCCCCAAGCTTCCCATGAGCAGTCACCACCGGGGCCAGAGCAGACCCTCTCCACAGAGAGAAGCTCCAGGAAAGCACCTGTGGGGTGTGAGTGTGTGTGTGTGTGTGAGTGTGAATGAGTGTGTGAGTGTGAGTGTGTGTGTGAGTGTGTGTGAGTGTGTGTGTGTGAGTGTGAGTGTGTGTGTGTGTTCAAGTGGGCACGACACTAAGGTCCATGCACTTCACTGTTTCTAATGGTTCTGAGGTCTGGGTGTAAGGAGCGTCCCCCGGGCTGGGGCCTCGGGGTGCTGATGGCCCGCTCTCCCCAGCCTTCGTCTGCTGCTGGAGTCCCTACTTCCTCTTCGACATGCTGGACAACTTCAGCCTCCTTCCGGACACCCAGCAGCGCTTCTACGCGTCCGTGATCATCCAGAACCTGCCGGCCTTGAACAGCGCCATCAACCCCCTCGTCTACTTCACGTTCGGCAGCTCCTTCTGCCTCGCCCGCAGGTGAGGGCACGCCAGCCGCCCCACGGGGTCTGGTCTTCCTCCCCCCGGGGCGCCCTGGCAGCTCAGGCGAACCTGAGGGTCAGAAAGGTCCCGCTAGTGGGACGGAGTGACACCCAGGCCCTGGACCCCAGCACCCCCACAGCCGAGGTCACACAGAGCAGAGCCCCTCTGGTCCCAGGCACGTCCACTGAAGCATGTCCACGAGGAGTGCCTCCACGCGTGGCCTGACCCAGTACGATGCCACTTCACAGATGAGCGACGTGGCCGAGCTGACGTCATCTCCCTCACACAGCTCCTGTCGTTTAACTGCTTCTCGGCTGCTTTCCTGCCCCCCCGACAGTGAGCAGAGGGAAATTCACAGGAAATAAAGTCATACAATGGTGTGAGGCGGGGTTCGATCCTACGGCTGAGGTTCAAATCCTGCCACTGTGGGTTCACAGCTACCGCTGACCTTGGGCAAGTTATTTAACTTCCATAAACCTCCGTGTGCGCACCTGTAAAATGGGGCTAACGGCAGTGCCGACCTCCTGGCCCCGGGGTCTGTCCGCTGGGCTCCCAGAGGGAGGGAGGGTTACAGCGGGTGGGAAGGAAGGTCACCGGCATGACATGGAAAGCGCTCAGCACACTGTCTGATCCTAACACATGCTCCAAAACGATTCTCTCTCAACGTTCCAACTGCTCTTTCCGTGAAGTCAAAGTATTTCCCTCTCTGCTTCCTTCTTTCTCCAGGGAGCAAAGGTCACGGGATTCCAGAACCACAGGGCGGGAGAGAATCCAGAGGCACGAAATGCAGGTCCTGCCCAACCCAGCGTTCATCTAGACCCGGGCAGGGGCAGGGCTGGCTGAGCCCACAGCTCTCCCGGTCCCCGCCCCGCCCTGGGCCTGTGCGTGGAGCCTGAGCTCAATCCCTGTGGCTTTTCCAGGCGTGATATTTCTGGAAGCTCCTTATCGTCTTTGCCTATCGCTGGCTGCTATTGTCTACCTAACACCTCGGCCAGGAAGCGCTGGTGGGTTTATTTTGACAAGTCTGGAGCCTGATACTTCTAAGCATCATCCAAGTGAAATATGACTAAATGTTTTCTAGTCGATTTTTATCATCCGAGTTTTCCATAAGTGGAAAAGGAAGGATTTAATTTGATTATATATACACCCCCACCCACAGCTCGGGGACGTGCGTGAGTTTATTTTTAGCCTCACATACATTCTTGACATTAAAATCTCCTTGGCAAAATCCTCCTTCCCAGAATTATTCTGAGCTCAACTTTTTTTTCTGGCCTACTGCTGGTAGAGTCATTAAAATGTGCAGTATATTTTAATAGCTCTCCATTCCTCATTATGGTGTCAACCCAGACTACATGTTTAAGGTCACGGTGGCATTTTTTTCATAAATTTCTCTTTTCAATTCCATGTGGCCTTAGGGAAAGAGTCTCTTTAGGCAGAGATCAGATCCTTCCATCACTATCTCTCTGAGAATTATTTTCAGATTCTGAGAACCCGAAGCCGCTCGTTCAATGTCTAGTTCGACAGCGGCCCCTCTCCAGGGGCCTACCTGGGAGCACCCCGGCCGCGTGGAGTGGTTGAGAAGTACTTCTCGACATTTCCCTTTAAATCAGGAGGGACCACCGAGGACCACAGAATCCTTGCTCACCTGGCTGCCCGCGTGCGTGGGTGCCAGTTCACAAGCGGAGCCTGCCCGCTGTCTGGGAGGGCAGGACAGGGGCCCTGGCTTCTCCGGACACACATGTTCCATCTCTGTCAAGTTCTGGTCTGCGGAAGACATTCCGGGCTGACCTCCTCCATCGCAGGTTCTGGAAGTGAAGCAGAGTGTGAGGGCGTCAGTCCTGTGGGGACCGAACGTGATGCGTTGGAACGCTGTCCTGCGTCCCCCAGTGGACCGGTCATCGGTGAGATGACGGCACAGGTCGCTGCAGAGTAAGCCGCCGTGGAAATGAAAACTGCTTCATGTCGCTGTGGGTTCTGGAATCCTCATTCCGCGTGTTTGCTGAGCGTGGGCAAAGACGATTTATGTGTTTGTGAGAACACTGGCCACGACCAGTCTAGCGACGCTGGACACTTCACTGACTGTTTCTGGGCATCAGGGGTCTCATCTGTCAGCTTGAGGCAGGATCAGCAGCAGCTAGGGAAATTCCTTGGCTAGTGGAATGGGGAAACTGAGGCAGAGCCGAACAACTGGCTGAGCAATTTACAGCAGATACGAAAGGTCGCCAGAGTGGAAAGCCCCGGATGCCTAGCAACTGGCAACACTGGCGCCGGACCGCGCCCCCAGGGTGACCTTTCCTCCCCTGGCACGTGGCTGGTCGTGCAGGTTAGACCCCCCCCCCTCCCTTTCCTCCCTAGAGAGAACATCTAGGCTTCAGTTGTGTTTCTGCTCCAGGCCCAGAAAAGCAGCAAATCCTGGTGGACAAAGCCAGGACCAGCTGCAATGACCAATGCCCTGCCCCGCACTGAGCAACCAGTGAGACCGTGACCCTGAAGGGGCACCTGGAAAAGCTGATGACTATTCTACTGAGATCCTCTCCTAAGTCCTTCCCTAAACTCCAGCCTCTAAAACCCTGAAAACAAAGGACCCAGCTCTTTCTCCCTCTGGGGAGCATACCTGTGTCTTTCCCTTCCCCCTATTCTCCCCGCCCCCCTGCGTGCTTTTCCTAAACCCTAAGGGACCCCAGGAGACAGGCAACTAGGGGAGCAATGGGCAGCAGCAGCTTGTCCTGGGCTGACCCCCTGAACCTGTTCCCAGGCCCCCTTTTCTCTGACTTCCCAGTGAGTGACAGCGGCCCCGCCCAGTCTTTCCCCTGTTGCTTCTTCTGTTTTAAGCCCTCCCTTTGTGTCACCCTCCCCAGCTTTAATAAACGTACCCTCACAACCACCTGGACTCGTATTGTAAAATCTTTCCTGCACAAATCAAGAACCAACCCAAGCAAACCCGCTCGGGGCCCGGTCCGTAGCAAGCTGAGAGTAGAATAAGGCCGGAGCAGAGGGCTGTGTGTTTTCTCTGCAGATACAGGCTCTGATTGAAGGGAGTTAAGTTGTGTCCGGAGAGTCAGAGCTTCTGGAATTCTTTCCCCAGGTGGCCAGTGACTCTGGCACTCGGCGCTGACTCTCTGGGCCTTCAGAAGTGGTAACTTCCCCATCATTCACTGCAAAGTCAGAGACAGCATTGCCCCGTCGAGGACCACAGCTGCAGCTCTAGAGAAAATGGGAGGCTTATGCTGTGATGTCACTGTCTGTAGCCTTGGCTGCCACTTGGGGTCAGAGTCAGGGGGTGCTGTGTGGAACAGAGCAGCTTACTGCCCACGCCAAGACAGCCAAGCCGTCCCCGAGTACATCATCACATGGCGTCAGGCACAGGTGACAACTTAGGGTACCAAGAGTAGGTGTGCTTACTCTAGTATATTTAGCCACACAGCAGAAAACAAGTGTTTCTACTGGACTAAATTAAATATAAGTGGTAAAAACGTCTCTGCTGCCAGGGATTGTGGGAGGTAGAATTTAATTGACGTTTAATCTCATGGAGCAGCATCTACCTTTTCTTCCCCAGAAAGTGGTAACGCCTGTTTAATGGCCTTAACTTGTGATTGATCACGAGAAAATGAGTTTCCCTTTTAAACCGCACACACACGTGGTTCAGGCTGTCTTCCTGCGTCATTCGGACGGCTCCGTCCGCCTTACAGAAGTGGGTCTGCCTCGTCCTCCGTCCAGTATGGAGCGGACCACAGGCCGGTCTGCTGAGGAAACAAAGGTATGTTTAGCAGGAGATAAAGTCGCTCTGCGCTTGTAGTCATCTTCGGTGAGCCACCGACCTGCGGCGGCTGCAGTTCTTCTGTGGTCATTTGAACGTATCTCATTTTACATGCGGGTCTACCACGGTCCCCCGGAATTTTCCATCACATTTGATTGAGAGGAGTTGGCGCTCGATGTCTAGGTGCCAACCTCCTTGCTTTTGGAAACATGAAAAACCCAGGCCTCATTTCTCTGCAATTGTCTTTTTTTTTTTTTTTTTTAATTAATTTTTTTTTTCTTTATTGATTTTTAGAGAGAGAGGAAGGGAGAGGGAGGGGGAGACAGAAATATCGATGAGAGAGAACATCGAGTGGCCGCCTCCTACAACCTGGGCATGTGTCCTGACCAGGAATCAAACTGATGACTTCGCGGTGCATGGGCTGATACCCAACCACTGAGCCACACCGGCCAGGCTGCAATTGTCTTTTAAGAATGTGTTATCCACAACAGGGCTCGTCCAGCCAATGTTTTTAAAGTGTGATACCATGTTTATAAAATGTTGAAGGGGACGAAGGCTTGATCATCTAGCCCTGTGGTGTTCAGACTGCTCAGGGATCCCAGAGACTCCAAGGCGGCGACTCAGCATAAACACTCACACATAGAACAATAGCACGCAAGTCTAGAATAAACTCACTGCAAAGTCTTCCAAGGTCCTTGAATTACCTGGAATGAGGGCAGAATATGGATTACCATTAGACATCGATAGTCCAAGAATGCATGATGTCGTTTCAAGAATGCATGCTGTAGTCACACAAACAATAGAAATGAAGTGTATAACTTCTAAACTAAGAGAGAAGGAATACTGAATGATAAAACACTCACGCAGTCTAAAAGAAGGCAGGAGAAGAGAGAAACAGACAGGAAGAGCTGTATAGAAAGCACATAGGAAGAGGGTGGGTTTTTATCCAAACAGATCAGTAACCATAACAAATGTAAGCAAATGAAGTCCTCCAGTTAATAATCAAAGATGGTCAGACTGGATAATTTTAAAACAACAACTATCTGTTGTTGACAAAAGACATGCCTAAAAGGCAATGATGCAGAGATTTCGAAAGTGAAACAAAGGCCTTCCAAGGAAACAGAACCGGCAGGAAGCTGCTGAGACTGTACAAGTACAGACTGAACAGAGTCTAAGGCGAAAGGCATCAGACGTGCTAAACAGGCACACGCCAAGGGAAACATGTTTAGTTCAGTATGACGATATAAAAATTCTAAATGTCTCTGTATTTAACAATATGCCTCAAAAATGTATTTTAAAAAGTCAAAACTATACATCAAATAGATAAATTCACAGACACGGTAGATAATTTTATCACACTTAATTCCAGAAATTGAAGCTGACAAAGTTAGGAATGATCTGGATGATTTGAACAACAAAGAATACCAGAGGTAGAGCACTCTGCTCTCCACCCAGAATGACCAGTCTCGTCGAGGACCCCTGGAACAGTTACAAAGCTGACCACACGCCAGGCCATCAAACCAGCTTCAAAAGTTGCAAAAGACTCAGACAGTCTAGTTTCTCTGATCACAATGCAATTATGCTAGAACTCACGGGCAGAAATATAACTAGAAAATTCCAGTTTGTTTGGAAATTGAGAAATATAGTTCTCAATGACTTATGGTCAAAAAAGAAAGTATATGAGAATTAGAAACAATTGTATTGAATGATGATGAAATTATATATCAAATGTGTGGGATAGAGATAAAATGATACTTAATAATAATTAAAGGAAAAGAAGAAAACATTAAACTCAATGAACAAACCATCTATCTCATGAAGTTAGAAAATTCACCAGAATAAACACAAAGGAAAGATGAGAAAGGAAAGAATGAGTAGGAGTAAAAGTAATAAAATAGAAAGCAACATATAATTTAAAAGGCTCAACAAAGATAAAATTTTGTTTTTGAAAAAATAATAACATCAAGTAATAACATCAAATAATAACCTGGTAAGACTGGTTAAGGGGGGAAAAAAGAATATACAGATAAGTATTATCATTTTTATAAGGATATCACTGTAGGTCCTGGAGCTAATAAGAGCTGTTATGATCAAG